GAAATAAGATCATGAGTCTAAAATAGTTTAAATGCCGTCAGTGGTTTTTATGAACTTTAAATCACTAATTTATGAGATACTGTTTCCCTGTTTAATATGACACTATGGAACGAATGTTCATTTCTTTTAGTCGCGCTTTAAAATCAGCAAGGCAAGAAAGCGTACCGTTAAGGTACGGGGGATTGGTTTTATCCTGAGAATAAAAACATTGAGGTAATTTTCCTTTTTAGGAGCTTAATAATTACTATTATAACCATAAACATAAAATTAATTGTATATTTTTTTTCTTAATTCCTTCCTGTGGTTTTGGCTGTAATGATTGTTATGGTACAGTCCTGGGATCTGCAACCTGACTCTCTGAAGTCCCATGTTTTTTTGTTTTTGTTAATTTTAGCACCTTCTTTTCTGGCTCTTTTATCTGCTTTTCATCCAAATGAATAGTAATTCTCCCAATGATTGCATGTAAAATGGCAATATGTTTACCATATAGAGGCATATACTGGGGGATTCCTGAAGTTTATACAGATTCAGTTTACTGTTAGCTGCCAAGCACAATTTATTCAAGCGTGAGCACTGTATTGCATATCAACGTCCTTACAAATATAGATTTGTCAAAATATGAAAAAAAAGATGAAATGAGACATTAATCTTAATTTAATTAATTTGTTCAATTGAACTTTATTGAACTTTATTGATCTCACTTTGGATAAATAGGGTAAGGTTAAACCCATCCCCTTGGGGAGCAGTGGGCTGCCATTGTGCGGAAGCAGTGTGGGGTTAAGGGTTTTGCTCAGGAACCCAGAGTGGAGGCTGTGGGGATCGAACAAGGTACTTGCAACCTTCTCAGTGAGCATAAGCTCACTGCTCTAATCACTAGGCCATCACTCCCCCAAGCAAAACTGTTCTCAAATCGCCCCATAAGAAATAGAAAAATGTTTCTTCACATACATTAAAAATATGACACGTAATCTATAAGTTGTACGTGAGCTCTAGAGAGAGTTTGCAGCTACAGGACTGTTTAACTTTCACCGTCAGAGTTATACAAACGTCAGTAGGAAATTTCAAATGTCCTCCAAAGCTGTGCAGATGTTACCATCCCTTTCTTCCGTTTTATCTCCTTCCAAGTCAGAATCTGAACAGCCGCAGTTTAGTTCTTTAGTTCAGTTCTTTAGTTCAGCTTTGTCCATCTTGAAGAAAAAAAAAATTCCAATAGTGACTGCTTTAAGTTCCCATGAGATTTCTTCAAGCACGCAATTTATTGGCCGATGCAAAAGTAAAGCCTGCACCCAGCCACACAAAGGCTGTATGTAGAATAACGTGCAGGCTGTCCACTCCCCATCATTGAGTTAACGATGTTCCGCCATGCTTTGTTAACCATCATGTATTGTGACATAAACAGGTGCTGTACTCCTCATTAGTCTCAGAATGTGCTGCTGTTACAGTTAGGCTTACTGTAGCTGAGTTCGCTTTTTAAAACCTCTAAAACTGTCATTTAGAGCACTGACTGGTTTCTTCATATCTTGGACATGCACATTTCACAAAAAAAAAAAAAAATTTTACTCTTTTTCTCAGAAATTGGTGGTTATTTCCTGTTTTTCTCTGTTTGCATTCTGCCAATTTTTCTGTTCCTGCTTTAGTCATGAGTCATGACCCTTCACACATTTTTAGTAACATTTATTTGATTCATACTTTAATGTAAGTTTGATTATGTGATGGAACATTTAATTATTCGATTGTGCATTATATGATTTAACCATAAATATATTATTTAAATCATGGACTGATTAAATACATATTAGAGCTACTTATTTTATGGTACATTCATTTATTTCATGATGTATTTTGGTCATTCAAATACCCATTGCGCTGATTGTGAATGCAGCTCTTTGGAAACCCGTTTTCTACACGGTGATCTGTTTTCAATGTGCGCCTGTTTAGTTTAAAGCAAAGTTGAACCAGAGTGTCTCTAAATGGCTGCATAAAAATAAAATATCTTGCCCACTACATGTTTCCATATCTACAGAAAAAGAAACAAAACTAAAGTGTTTATTTCGCCTCTACTCTAAGCCAACAGTAAGGGATGTAAATAAATATCAAAATCTCACTAAACTTACAGCAAAAAATGGAGGCCAAGTCTAGCAATTAGTGGATCCTATCTTCTTATCACTTGGTACCAAAAAAAAAACCCTTCTGTCCTACCGTCACAATTGTAAACACATAAAGCTCCCTGGGAACAAACACTCTAAATGATTCAGGCCTGAAACATGTCAGCTATGTGTGAATATGTGGGCCTATTTCTCTTTCAAAGATCCTTCATAGAATACATGTCATCATAGAGCTCTGAAATGCCAGGAGAGTTTAAGAGAAAAATGGGTGTAACTCAACCCAGGCTAATTATCAGCTATCAAGGGGTCATTCAGTAGAATAAGGAGGCAAAACATCTGACAATTCCAACGCAGAAATCCTTCCTCAGACATAAAATCGATCTTTAAAATCTTGTGGAACATTTGAGGCTGGATAATATTATGGTTTTTAACACTAAAGAGCAAATATGCCTCCTTACTATAAGCTCTAAATACATCCTGATATAATGTTAGTTGATTCAGGATTGTATTTCTAATGGTTAGAATGAGTTAAGAACATAAACCTTGTTCATCCCTCTGTAAAGCAGTGTTGGATGTTCATTCTTGGCTCTCCTCTTTGGTATGATTGCAGTTTCCAGTTTTGGTCACTAGGGACCAAGCTTGTGCTTTGCTCTAGAGTCTGTGTGTCATGGTATGTTTACTTGGCAGAGGAAGGTGACACACCTCTGTGCTCTTGTCTAGTTTGTGGATGGGTTGTGGCTTGCCGAGAGGCAAGGACTCTCTGTATTTGGAACAAAAGCAGCCCAAAGATTGAGCTTAACACCAGCTTCACAGTACATAATTTATATTAGTACTAAAGCCACACTATTGAGTTATAATAGGCTGCTTATTTAATTTAATCTGCATAATTGTTAATGCCAGACCTCTCAGATGTTAGGATGACTACCCTCACAGAAACCCATCCTAGAGAGCGTGTTTTGTGTAGCCTTGAGCCTGATATTTACGTCTAATCGTATTCTATTTCATTAGAGTGGCAGAACCCATGTAACTAGGGTGAAATTCAGTTCAGCTGCACGGCTAAGTTGATTAACATCTCTTGTGTAAACCATCTGGACTAACATCTGTTGACAGAGGTCTGGGCCAGCTGCAGTAAAACTTTACTCTGACATCAGAAACAGGCAGTGTTGAGCCCTAAAATACGTCCTCGCTATTTATTCAAGACAGTTTACAGTGAAGTAATGGGATCTGATCTAATTCTGTGTACTGTGTAAGTATGAAATTATCCTTTTTTTTTTCTTTAATGTTACATCTGACACTTCTGTTTTTGATCTGTGCGTTTTGCTCTTCCTAAAATGCGAGCTACCTCATGAAGGAAGCATCGGGGGTTTTAACACAGGAAGACTGTCTTGTTCTGCTTTTGGCGGTTCAGCGTAGGGGTAGCTTTGACCACCTGTCTGTTCATTTTTCAAATTGCAGGTTTTCTTTTTGTGTAAATACAAACTTTTTTGTTGTTGTTGGTTTTTCTTTATGGATGTTTCTATCCCACCACTTAGGGTTAAGATACACAGAGAGGCTTTAGCTGGAGGGTAAGTTTGGTAGCCGATGGCTTTGCTCACTATAACAATCAGAATATCTCTTTAATACCATACTTTGTAAAGTACATCAAGTTAAATTAAAAAGAAATCATGAAAATGCATTGCCTCCAAAGATATTGTATGTTTTTTTACTTAAAAATGCTCATTTGTGCAAACTGCACTTTGAACTACTTGGCTAGCTTATTAATAGTCGGCTTAATGTCTTAGTGATGTAAGATATTTTTTAGGAACCAAACTTCACACGTACTACCTTCCCTATCCTCTCGTCTTCCCCTGCAAAATGCGCCATCCGGAATCCAAACTCGATGCGTCTTAGATTGTTCCTGGCCGCATCTTCTTTTTGCTTCCACTTTCTGGCTCAGCTGGTTTTAGGAAATTGACACAACACCAATCAAAAAATAGATTAGAATCATATGTCTTAGAGACATCAGAGGGGTCTGTCCTCTATTCCTTAGAGCAACAGATCCAGTAGAAATGACCAAGATAGCGACTGAGGCGTAAACTTACCACAAAACAGAGGTTGTATGGTAAAGGAGTCTGCATGGGTGAGGGGTTAGACCTTATCTGCTTGCAGGGAGCATCCTGATTGATCCCAAACTGCTTCTAAGATTTTATTTTTGTGTTATTTTTGTTTTATTTGTTTTGTTGAAGTTTGACAAATTGAAGAATGGGGATTCATGATTTGGGTGATGTTTAATTCACCAAACAATCAGCAGGTCACAATAGTCATCCTCTATTCGGTACAAACTGAGTAGATCCCATTAACTATAACAGAAACCTCAGTTGCATCTCAAAGACCGTTAGTGGAAGTTTCTAACAACTTCAGTCTTTTTTTACACCTCCTTAATGGGGTGTTGTGTGTAGAAATTTAAAGGAAGTGATCAATACCTTTTTAGAAAAGGGCGGTAATATTATTAAACGTGAAGAAACTGCAGATGTGTGAAAACTTTCCTGATAAACTCTTAAGTTCAGCTTTCTCTCAGATATTAAGAAATATCTGCAATTTTAATAATTGTTTATTTAAACCAAATACACTTTTATATACACCCTCTCTCACTTTTATACACTTTTAGAAACTGCAGACATGTTTCGGCACATCTTGGATTTTCTTAGCGGCTATGAAACGGTGACTTATTAAAACCTGAGTAAAGCTTGATATGGGCTTTACTACTGTGAACAGAGCGCTGTGCTGTGTCCATAATGAAACGGAGAGGAATGCACCCTGGCCTCTGCACCCAGAAAGGACTCTTTGCTGTGACACCCAGTCAGCTGGCATGTTAGCCATGATAAATACGCCAAAGCTAAGGCGGTCTAAGTGAACATGTCTCCGTTCTGTCTGCACAACAGAGTTGCTACGACGCTGATGACAGGCGTACCTGGCTTTCCTCTTCAGGTTCGGTTAGGCTTAGGTAACAAGATCATGGTACTATGATGATGTTATTCTGAGGTTAAATACAGGCTGAGCACGTGAAGCACTAAAACCCAGTCATAGCTGTGCTAACAGAGGGAAGGAGGGGCTGATTATACCTCTTATACACTGTAGTGATACCACTCCCTCAGTTAGACAGGTCTGCGTTGATAACAGCCCTGCTTTCTCCTTTTCACCTCATGTTGGATTCCTCACCTGACTGAAAACTGCTTTTGGTGCTCCCTATTTTTTGTGTGTAAGTAATATCTCTTGCTTTAGAGCCGCTTTGGGAGCAGAGGGATAAACCCTTAACCCCTTGCCTTGTATTTTAACCCCTCTGCTCTGCTCCCACCCTTTCGGGTTCCCTTGAGCCTGATGGTAGAGTTAGGAGAGGTGGTTCCTGGCTGGCGTACTGTAAACTGTGCTTAGCAGCTTTTTTCTCTCATACCATCTCCTCTCCACCTCTTCATTAAGCAGATTTGCCTTTCTCTAAGGTATGTCTCACTTTGGTGTTCTCTTTAAACGCTGAGTTTGTAACTTTTTTGGCTGGTGTTTATTTTAGGACAGGCCTTAGAGTGGGACTTTGCAGCTCAGCACACCTTGGCCATACATGTCAAATATACTATCATACTCAACTGGAATCTGTTCATGTAGACTAGATATGAAGTTAATTTTTAAACTCTAGAGGTTTAAGAGAACATTTGTGTTTTTTACTTCGTACTAGAATGCATCTTTGGCACTTTAATTAATCCTCTAAATATAAAAAATGGTATTGAATACTTTATCTTGCTTGTTTTCAGCTCAAAGTATTAAAAAACCCTGGTGATAATCAGCTTGTCGATGGGAGATTTTTGCTTGGTCGTGTATTTGAACTGGCCCTATTGGTTTTAACACACTGTTGCCAAGGAAGGGTCACTGAGTAACCAAAGGAGTGGCTATGACAGGCTGCATGAGTCAACTTTTACAACTTTGAATCCTCTGATGTCAGCGCACATGGGCTTTGGACAGATTGCGAAAGAGTGGTAACTTTTTTTTTGTGGGGGTTTGCAAGCTGAATGCATGATGAGAAGAACGTTACTTCCCAAGAGTACATGATGACGAGCACGTCACTGTCTGGGACGGAGCTGAATGGTTTTAATTCCTTTTTGTTTACACTGAAAAAGAGGAAGTTGTTGATCTTTTTGATTCTGATTGTTTCACTTTCAAAAAGCATCTGTCCATCTATCTGCTTCAAGGAAAGGTTTTGTTTAACATCTTTTTAGATGTCTTTGCAGATGGCTTCTTTTGAAACTCCAAAATTGTTTTATTTGTTGACGATTTCTTGCTTTGACCAGCAGACACTAATTTCAGCCATTTTATCTGTAGGAACTAGAATATGTTAGATTGCCGCTTTGAATTGTCATTAATATTTCATTTTTTTATCTTAAAACAAAGAAAATGTTGATCTTGAATGCTGCCAACATTTCCAGGTTTTCATGTCAGATGGAGGTCAAAAGCTGGAAGCGGCAAAACAGATCAGCTTTTCTGGGCTCAGGCTTCCTGTTATCTGTTCTCTCCCTCTTGTTTCGTTAATAAACAGCAGACACGTCTCAGGCTGTCGGAAATTGTGCTTAGTCATAAATGCAGTTCCCTAAAATGGCTAAACCAGTGTCTAAGCCAAAGTGCTTTTGTGGGAGTTCCATAGGTATGATCTGTTTTTTAAATACAAAAAGGTTGAATTTGGTGTGTTTCTGACTGCCAAGGCTCTAGTCAGAAGAATCAAGTTGGGGAATACTGACATTCTGGTCCCTCTTTATTTGCACAAACTTCAGTCATATATGCTGTTTGTGATTGTAAATCACAAAGTTTTGTATGTCAAATAGTTTTTCTGCCTTTGAATCAAATTTTCCAATAATTTATTTTTTTGTGCATTTATAGAAGTTGTATTTTTTTCACAAAAGCTAAAGTTCAAAATTTGATCTTCGAACACATTATAGGAGAAAGGTTGTTTATGTTCCACCTGAGCAACAGAAGTGCGTCCTCCATCTTTAGCGCTATGCTCTCTAGACCTCCAGCTCCGTAACTGGCGGCCATAACTGCTAAACCCATCTGTTTTGTTATTGGGTATTAATTTGTAATTGACATGACCCCAACCAATCAGCTGAGAAGAAGAAACATTTGTCAAAATTTGAACTCATAATTTGAAGTTTTACACATAGATATTTGCTTTGAATCTGTAAATTCTTTTACACACCTATTCTTATCTATGAATGAGCAAATATAACATTTCAGACATTATGGTGTCCACTGTGGAAAAACACAATACTAACAAGCATATCTTTTGGTTCTTAAATGCTAATTATATAACTGACTTTTATGCTCACTCGTCTTGAATAATTATTTTATTTGAACCAGCTTCTAGTTTCCTCTTTAGATGATAAATAAGAAAAGATCAGGTCATATTTTTCCTAATACTTTGATACGATCATTTTAGACTAGACAGATTTTGTCATTCTGTTTACACAAGTGTAAAACAAAAAGAAATTTCATTTGGAAACAGCTCACTGGACAATTTGATCTTTTTAAAAGTGCAGCCTTGAACAATAGTAAAAATGACTGTAAATTTACAGTTCTAACAATTTTTCCTTTTTTTTTCCTGATGTAAAGTTTAAGAGAGAATTAAAGATAAGTATGCATTTATTTGTTTTTATTTTGTTTTATAGATGCTTTATTGGCGGACCTTGAGTCCTCAACCTCCCACATTTCCAAGCACCCGGTTTTCCTGTCTGACGACGACGCTTACTCCATCCCTGTTGGGGGTCAGAACCAGCAAGACATCAGCTCTCCATCTCAAGAGAGAAGTCTGAATGGAGTAGATGAATCAGAGGTAAGTGGAAGCGGACTTTGGTTGACCCTGTGTAAGTTCAAGGCGGTTTAAATGCTCATTGTTTGGTGAAGGAAGTGGCTTTCCTGAGGAACTGAGAGTAAATTAGTCAAGTTGTTGACCAATAATTTAAAACTGACTTTAATCTTATGATCCAGTCCTTCAGCTCAGCTCCGAAAAGCTCCTGGTCTAGAGAAAGCAGCAGTCCAAAACAACAAGCCGGTGAAGAGGACCACGTTTACAGGTTAGTGTGACCAACAACTGGGATTTATTAGCTCTTTTAGATGGAAGAGACCTTATAAGTAGAGATCCCCCAATTATGATATCACTGATTTAATCCATGATAAAGAACTAAGGTAGAAAAGTAAAACTATATATTTTTTTCTGCAGGTGTAGGAAATAAGTAATATGTTTGTTTTTGTTTTTTTGTCACCATGGTGCAGTTTTCCTAACAAGCAGAAGAACAGAGAGTCATCATCATCATCACCGGCTGCCATGAATTCATTGCTGGGCAGCAACCTGTCTGAGCTGGACCGCCTCCTGTTGGAGCTCAACGCCGTCCAGCAGAGCACCCCTGCCTTCCCCACAGAAGGTGCTTTAATAGTTTCTCTGTAGGGGTGGACATGTCACCGTTTAAATTTAGCACTTCTATTTCTGTGGTTGGGTGATCTTGGTTCCTGTGCTTTTCTGTGTTTTGCCTGTTTTCTCGTTCTTTTACATTCAAATCAGCTTTTAGTGTACATAAAAGATTAAAATTTGCCTTTTTTTCATATATTTTAAGAAGTAGCTCCACCACTTCCTGCAAGCAGCACCATCCGCCACATCCAGGAGAATGGACTCTCCGCTCCAGTTAAACCCCCTCATTCTAACCTGGATAACCCGAAGCACACTGTAGACGCACGGCCGAGTGTGGAGAGCCTTCTGGATGAGCTTGAGAGCTCTGTACCCACTCCCATGTAAGAAGAAAGACATTTGAGACTTGTTACAGTTAAATAAAATAAGCCTTTCAGTGGATTTTTGTATTTTGTTTTAGTCCCACACCCTTGGTGGTCTCAGAGGGGCCTAATGACGGACAAGCGGAGGCCTTTTCTCAGCAACAAGCCAGAATGTCTGCATCCTCTGCCACACGAGAGCTGGATGAGCTCATGGCTTCACTTTCTGACTTCAAAGTCCAAAGCAATGTGAGTGGGGTACAAAAGTGGGCCGAGTGGCTGAGATTTTCACACTTAACCACAGCGAGGTATTTTAAGCTTTGACGGCTTCTTCATGTGTTCTCTTATGCCATTTGGGTCATACAGTTTTCTTTAGTGCCTTATCTTGCTCTTGTGGCATGCAGATCTAAAGTTTTGTACCATTTTTCGATTTCCTTCACCAGCAGTTAACTATAAAGTAATAAAATCTAACCGTAAGGTTTACAGAGGTGTTGCTGTAGTGACTGCCTTTGACTGTGTCTTGTACCAATAGGTTATTTTTAACTTAAATACCATATGTATATAAGTTTGGACTTGAATCTAATGATAATTGTGAAACACCTTGTCAAGTTTATAACCTTTGAATCTTGATAACATTTTATCACATTGGCACGGCTCACTGATTATGACCATTCAGCCAAACTGACAGGCCATAAACATAGGCTAAAAGAAATACTTCAGACTTAGAGGGTGTTCCCTTTTTTTTTTCACCAAAACAATTGCTAAATATGATACCTGAGCTAGAGCAGGAGGTTGTCTTTAAAGTGACAAAATGTAAATAATTTCAATGATACCTTATTTCTGGTCTCAATTATGTGACCTTTGTATTTCCATGGTCATCTTTATAAGGTGCTGCAACTGCATTTGTATTACATCTATACTTATCATTTGATTCTTCTTCTGTAAATACCCTTTCTATGTCTTTCCTCTGTTTATTTCCTTCAATTCATTCCCTATTATTTTGGCCTTATTTTGGTTTCTCTATCACTGTCTGTCCTCTGTTTGTTCATGGCCTTCATCACATCACTGTCTCCACGACTCAGTCCAGCTCTCAGTTGTCTGTCAATGAGGACTCTGGTGACCCATTTTTGGGTGCTGGATCACCTGTCACCCAAGCTGTTGTTGGTCCATCTATATCTGCTCAGGATACTCCCCGACCTTTGAGCTCTACTTCGCCGTCCTCAACGCCTCTTTCATTGGAGCTTCACATAGATGAGGATGGTTACTCAGTGGGCTCATCTTCATGTTCAACTGTAATAGTAAAATCTTCCAAGAGCCTTCAGTTCTCCCAAGTCCAACAGAAAGATGAGGATACAACTGTTATGTCCGAAGTCTCACATTTGGAGAGCTTTAGTGTCTCAAGTGCTTTGAAGCCTCAAACCCAAACTGATATTAGCAGTTCTGTTCATACTTCTCTAACTAAAAGTTCTGCATGTAAAGACTCTGCTGCAAGGAGTTCCAGTCCAGTCATTGTGCCAAAGAGTCCAGTGACTGAATCTAAAACCCCGAGTCCCAGTAAATCAAAAATCCTCAGTCCTGCTGACATAAAGTCTAAAAGTCTGTACTCTAAAAGTCTTAGTCCTCCACAGGTTACAAATAGTGAAAGTCCAGTAGTAGTACCCACTCTGTTTGAAGCAGTACCAAGAACATCTAGTCCAATAACCGTTCCTAGGCTCTCAAGTCCAGTTCCGAAAGCAGCAAGTCCATTGGCTGTCCCTGCTCTCTCTAGTCCACTACCTATCCAGAGGAGTGCTAGTCCTGACATAGCTGGACGAAGTTCTAGTCCTGTGACTATTCCGATACTTTGTAGTCCTGTTCCAAAGACTGCAAGTCCTCTGACTCTTTCCCACAACTCCCCTTCACTAGTCTTACCTAAGAGCTCTGGGATTGAAGCCATCCCAAGAAATTCCTCTCCTTTAACACTTCCTAGGCTTTCAAGTCCAGTAACCGTTCCAAAGAGCGAAACTTGGGTTCCTAAGGGTAGTCCTCTGGTCTTTAGGAAAACACTCACTACTTCAGGCACCAGTAGTCCCAGAGCTTCTCCAGTTTCTCATGCTACCGTACCAGTGAATGCCCCATATTCCCAAGAAAATACAGGGGATGTTTTGGATTTAACTTGGCCTTGCCGAGAACCTCTACTGGATGATGCCTTGGATAAGATCCTCACTCCTGGTTCTAATCGCCTGACTGAAAATCAGCCTCCCACCTGTGTTTTACCTGGTGATGAAGACAAATCCTGGGAGGAAGAGGATGGACTTTTTCCTGAATTTAGCAGAGAGGGAACCTTGACACCCATGACGGAGTCCAGCTGGATGGATGAGTGCTTCACCCCCTCTTCCTGCCCCGGGACCCCAGATGCAACACTGGACCTACCAACACAGCAGCCCTCCGCAGTTGATCGACTGTCTGCGTCTGGTCAAGTAGGCATCTCGACTCTCCCAAAACAAGCTGCTGGCATGAAGTTGTATCCAATTTTAAACTAGTGCACCGTTTTTATAACTTTGCCTCATATTCTAAAAATGTATACCCTTAAGTTAGGAATAAAAGCTTATTTTGAGTGAGCTTTGTGTTCATGTCTTGAGGATGTTGTGAAATGGCACAAACTTGTCTTAGAGATTCCTCATCCCCTGCAGTGTGATGCATGTTGTGTCATACAGCTATCACAGAATGGCTTGAGGGGGAAGAATTCTTTGCAGAGAACTTTTTGTTTTGGCTGATGTTGAAAGCTTGTCGACGCACGTCTGCGCTTGCTCTTCTTTGACGCAAGTCTGTTTCTAATGCTGCTTTTTAATCACTGGTAGTTCAGGTAAAGGTATATGCTAAGAGATGCTGGTCATGCTCATGGATTCTTGAATGCTTGGCCTTTCGCCAGCATCTTTATTCTTGAAAATTTCCAACCTGCTGCTCACTGGTCAGAAAGCTTTAAGGCTAAAACAATGGCTAGCCTGTTGGCCAGCAGATTTCTCAGTACACCTCTACCTTTAATGGTCCAGCATGCCTTAGCTTAAATTTGCTAGTAAAGACTTAAATTTAAGGTGGCAGTGTTGTGGCTCAAACAGGTCCCTAAACTTTTGAATGGAAAGCGTTTTAGTAGATATAATTAGAAGCAAGTGCTCGTTTTTCTGTAACTGGACGTGTTAAGCTTGCAATGAAAGATGGGATTTACTGATACCTGGCATGATCCTGGCTTTCCAAAACACCTTATCCTCCACTCTCCAGCTCAAGTCGGTTATTCGCCGCACCAAAGAGACGTCCAACGTACATCCGATGTACAGGGAGGGATTGCTCAGACGTAAGATGGGACCAATAATTGTCAATAAAAGCAACTCTCAAGATCGACTAATAGAGGAGCTGCAGGGAAAGCTGGGGATCGGGCGAGTGGAGCGCAGGCGGAAACAACAGCCGGATGACTGGCTGACAGAGGGAGTCATTGTTATGTCCAACCCACAACGAACACGGGAGGAAGGGATCCAGCCATCTGTGGATAAGGTAGACGGACAGCAAGGATCTGTATCAGTACCACGTTCGGTCAAATTGGACGTTAGGGTTTTTACATCTTTAACTTCCTTTATGTTGCTTTTTTCAATCTATCTGCATTCCTGCTTTTTTGTCTCTTTTCTTTCCTTTTTCCTTCTTTCCCACCAGATCATTATCCCACCCGAATCACCTGCCCCACAGAGAAAAGTCCTCCCACCTCCACAGTCTCCCCCAGCACCCAAAAAGCCCCCACCAGTCCACCAGACACCCCCACCTCTACCTCCACCACCTCCAACACCCCCTCCTCCTCGGGAGCCGACTCCTCCACCCCCAAAGGAGCCGACTCCTCCACCCCCCAAGGAGCCGACTCCTCCGCCACCCAGGGAGCCCACGCCTCCCCAGGTCTTACCTCCTCCATCACCTAGTCCCCCGCCCAAGCCCGTCACACCACCTCCACCCCCCAAGGTCTTTGTATCAGTGGGCTGTCAGACAGAATACGACCCTGTCTTCCCTCCATTGCAGGCATGGATCACCTCTCATACTTTCTCTCAACTTTATTTACTTTTGCACTTTGTTTCTGCATATTTGTTTTCCAACTTCTACTCTGTTGTTTGACCTGAAGTCAAGCATTGTCAGAAATCCAGCCGGTTATGTTACAACTGGTTGTGACGCCTTGCGTAGAGGGACTAAGCCCATTTTCTAATTCTGACATCCGACGGCGCCAAGAGCTGTGTGTTTGGTGTTGAGGGGAGAATTTAAGAGCTTAGGGGAAAGCAGGCAGTAACGCTCTCATTGCAAAGTTCCCAGTGCAAGTGTCCAGCCACGCTTGGGAATGGTAGGCGTGCAGTGCAACGGAAACCTAATCTGCCACATGACAGCACAGTTACCATCACATTTATAGCAGGATTTAAGTCAACAGGTCCCGTGAGTTTAGGCTGACTGAAGTGAAAGACCCATGTTAGTCCAATCAACCTTCACTGATGTTGTTTGTGTTTACATCTGGTTGTGAATCAATCCCAGTAGATTTTATACTGCTTCGGAATCAGGAGAAAGGAGGAGGTCATTTGTGTAAAAGGGAATCCATGGTGTAAAGGTGCTATTTTCTCTCTCAGAGGAATGTGGGAGTCTTGAAGATCCAATAACCACAACATCTGAGAAGGTCTGAGTTTGCTAACACTGCAGCAGCCAAACACACACATATCCATGTCTTAAATACAAATAGAGGACCTTCCATTCATTTTCTTCTCTTTCTGCAGCCTAACCATGAAACTTAACATAAACCTAAGCCAACAAAGGAAGGACCAGTAAAACGTCCTCCCTTTACACCCAAGTTCTCACTTTGCTATTAAAATGCACCATAAATGTCCTCACTTTGTAGCAGGTACAAGTACACACATATCATAGAGACCTCATAAACGATGTTACACAGCAGCCATATTTGATGATGAACCCAAGTTGCTCTGAGCATGTACTCTAACTGCTGGAAATCCTGCTTTATTTCAGACCGGGAACATGGACAGTCTGACCTTAGAGCACAAATAAAGCACACTTTATACAGAAGTGTTCAAAAAATCTTTCTCCTGTCTTTTTTTTTTCTTAAATAAATGTCCACTTTCTGGTTTTGTTAGATCCAGTCACAGGGAAAGGCCTCAAACTCTGCTCCAGCAAAACCAGCCAACAAGTTGGACAACATGTTGGGAAGCCTGCAGTCTGACCTCAACAGACTCGGAGTCCAGACCAGTGCTAAGGGAGTCTGCGGTGCCTGCAAGAAACCGATTGCTGGACAGGTAACGACAGAAACGTCTAGATTACCATTAAGCAATATTCTCCAATATGGCAGAACAATGAAACTCAATAATGAGCAGTTTACCATCATTATAGAAAAATATGTACTTTCTCCTGCAAAATTATGTTGGTTTTCAAAATTAAAGATTTATCGTTTTTACCTAGTTTTTTGAGGCGTATACATGTCAACCAAGAGCTAAATGTCTCTTAGTTATCTTTGTTGGTCACATTTGCAGATCCCGAAATAAGAACTGGATATAATTGTGGTAAAAGCTGACATTATGCCTATTTGCTGATATATACTAGCATACTGTCATGCAAAGGACATCCAGTAAGCTAATAAGACCACCATGGTGAAAATACAAGATTTATTCGGCATAATTAAAGGGTTATAGTGGATATCCATCATCAACGCCTCTCCCATGTCATAGTTCTCTGACAGCTTTTGTTTATTTGCAATATTTGCATTCTCTACTTTATTAAAATGCTGCTTCACAGTTGTAAAAAAAACAAATCTCTCTCTTGGCCTACATCAGTTTTTAAAGCAGCTATTTCTCTGGTTGTAAATTATATAGCTTACCTTTAAGGTTTAATTAGCAATTCCAAAAAGTGCTGCTTTGAATTTGAACATTTGAATAAACAGCTGCTCCCGCTTGCAGTAATCCTCTCACCCAGCTCTGTGGCTCGGCTTTTCTTTTGCCGAGCAAGCTCATCACATTTTAATGCGGCGTGTCTCCCCACACCAGGTGGTGACTGCCATGGGCAGAACGTGGCACCCGGAGCACTTTGTGTGCACCCACTGCCAGGAAGAGATAGGCTCCAGGAACTTCTTTGAGCGTGACGGACTGCCTTACTGTGAGAAAGACTACCACAACCTGTTCTCCCCGCGATGCCACTACTGTAATGGACCCATCCTGGATGTTAGTAATACACACACACACACACACACACACACACACACACACACACACACACACACACACACACACAGATACAAATGAACAGGCAGAAAATAATGATAACTTATTCATAAGCTGATGTATTAGGGCATTAGTGGAAAACCAGTAAATGATGGAAGTAACTTCTTGTCCTTCTAGTTAGGTCAATCCAGGAAGGTGCTAAAATATGGTAACCCCAACTTTTCTTCCTTGTGTGAAATATCCAGTAGTTTTCTAAAAATCATTTATTAAGAAAAATATAAAATTGCACTATTGTAGAAGTCTGTTGGTGCACAATTCTGGGGCCTTTAGATTTTTTTACTTTTTGTCACATAACCAGCTTTTAATATTTTTTCTGGGGTATTTGATAGATAAATAGAGAATAGTGCATAATCTCTTAAGCTTTGTTATTATTATATAAAGTGTGTTGTTCATTTGTATTTTGTCTCACCGAGTCAACATTTGTAGAACAAGCTTTCTACAAGTTTCTTAGGTTTTTCTCTAACGGTTTCTTTTTTTGCTAAATCTGTAACACAAAATAAGTTGAGTCAGACTGGATTGAGAGTAGGGCTGAACGATATAGCCAAAACTTATACCCTGGTCTAGTTCTTAATATAATATAATTTCAATATCGATATAAACAAAATGTCTGTCGTGGTGAAGAGAGAGCTGAGCGAAAAGGCAAAGCTCTCAATTTACCGGTCGGTCTACGTTCCTACCCTCACCTATGGTCATGAAATCTGGATCATGACCGAAAGAACGAGATCCTGGATACAAGCGGCTGAAATGAGCTTTCTCCGCAGGGTGGCTGGGCTCTCCCTTAGAGATAGGGTGAGGCTCAGTGTAGAGCCTGTTCTCCTCCACATCGAGAGGAGTCAGTTGAGGTGGCTAGGACATCTTCTTCGGATGCCCCCTGGACGCCTCCCTCGGGAGGTGTTCCAGGCACTTCCCACTGGGAGGAGGCCCAGGGAACGACCCAGGACACGCTGGAGAGACTATGTCTCTCGGCTGGCCTGGGAGCGCCTAGGGCTTCCCCCAACAGAGCTGGAGGAGGTGTCTGCGGAGAGGGAAGTCTGGGAGTCTCTGCTTAGTCTGCTGCCCCCGCAACCCGGTTCCGGATAAAGCGGGAGACGACGAGTACGAGTACAAAATGAAAGCCAGAGAAAAAGTCTGTCATAAGTTTTTACAGGCATCTGTTTCTTTCAGTTATTTTATTGTTGATAAAACTCCAGTAAAAACATTTTAGAAATATCGGCTTTACAAAACACATTAAAACCCCAAATGTCAATCAGTGACACAGGCTATATTCTTAGCCCGTAAAACGCTTTGAAAGTTGGAAAAGTTATGTTACTGTTATTGTATAAAATTATTGTACGATACTGATATTAAATTATTCTCCATCCATAAAAAGGAACATGCCTGTTTCTGTTCTAAACCATTCGCTTGCTTTAAGCGCTGTCTCCAGTTGACAATATTATGACTGTGTTGAAAAAACCTTACTATGTGATATACAGTGGGAGGTTTTGTTTTGTTTGCCGTCTCTCTAAATGCATCGCTCCTTACTAGGGCCGGTGTTCTGTCAGATAAGCATACCCGGTCAGACCAGCATACCCATAGTCAATACCCATTTATCCCTTTTAATTTATTTCCGTTTTTTTTTTTTTTTAATTTTTTTTTATTGTATGGCGATCTCGCCTTTAATTGTTTATTTTTGTACCTGACTAAAGTGATTCACACCAGTTGAGGTAGTTTAAATTCTATTTTTTTAATACAAAACTAAAAGGATTAACGTAAATCTGACGTCTTGAGAATGTGTATTGATTATGGGTATGCTGGTCTGACAGGGTATGCTCATCTGACAGAACATTTGCAATTTAATTGCGATTTAAGAAAATGCAACTTTCAAACCGCAGAAGCACTAAATTCTGGTCAGGTTACATTTCACAAGATTAAGACAACCCATTAATTAGCGGTGATATGTTTAAAGTTTGTTTGCTTTTATGAAAAACAAAATAGAAAACCTGCTAGCATGTAGATCTATGCATGCAAGTAGAAGTGAGCACTTTTCCAAACAGGTTATTGTAAAGTACTGCGACAATGGACTCTGGACAAACAAGCTTTTAAGGGATTGAAGAAAACAAACCCTGGAGTAAAACATCTACATGTTTGTGGTTGTGAAAGAAAATCACAATATTTTTATTTGGTTTTTGGAAAAATTGTTCAGCCCTACCCTTGACCCAGCTTATCATTTTAGATCTGAGGTGTCAAAATTATTTTTATATCGGCATCATTAGTCTGTAAAAGGGTTGGTTGCAGATGTATAAATAAAAATGTTGTCTTTGATCATTTCATTTACATAGAGCTCACTATTCTGGTATTTTAACTTTACTCCCATTTATTTCATAGTTTTAGCCTTTTCGTGATATGATGCATACTTTTTTAGGGCCAAATAGAGGGGCAGGATTCAGCCTATGGACTTTGAGTTTGACAAGTGCTTTAGATGGTTAGCCAAGGCCTGGTAGATTTGCAGTTAATTCTATAAACTCTTCCTCTCTGGGCGATGAATTGATCAGTTCTCTGTTATCAAGCATTCAAAGATTGAGATTTTGATTTATAACTGCTTTAGCTTTTCAACATTTTCATTTTTGACTTGTCTGGGTTTTTTTCCTGGTCTCCATGATGCTGTTTCTAAAGATCAGTGTCTGTGAAATTACTCCCAGGTGGACTCTCCCTCCTAATTAGATGCCCTGTAAAACACTGGAATGTCTAGGCTTTATTTTGGGGCGTCGTATTAAAGGGAGCGGAAAACAAATGCTTACCACACTTTGCAGCATCCAAATAAAATGCGCTGAATTTTTTGGTTGCAACTTCCCTTATGCCTGTTACAGTTTTGTAATAATAGGTTATTAAGTTCAAACTCTCAACAAAGACGTAAGCAGGTCAGTTTTTCCACTAAGCTGACCACAGCTGATACTGACAGACTAATTCATATGTCCGTGTCACTGCATGTTCCTCTCTTGTCTCACTTGTCAGCACTCAGTCTTATCATCGTGGTGACGTGCTCCCTTTGGGTGGTTCTTTTTTGTTCAGTCACTTCTCTCTTTGGCGCGCACACACAATCATGCAAACAGAGAGGTTGCCAGAGGTGTTTGCAGAGAAGCAGGCTGAGGATGGTGGACTGCAGCCTGCAGGAAGGTCGACATGAGTCAGTGCTACGGCTTCCTTAGGCGCTGTCTGACTTCCTTATTTAAAGTATCACTTGTTTACTTTGAACGCCACTCAGATTTTTGACTAGTAAAAAGAAAAAGTTGCATCCAACATGCCTCTATTATTATTCAGAATTACATTAGTTAGAAATAGCACAATGTGCTCTCTTGCTCCTCCTGGTGGAGGAGTTTGAATCCCTTAAAATGACCTTAAAACTATTTTTTAAAACTGTTATTTATTGTCTCTGCGCTGCAGAAACTTTACATATAAAGATGTTTTTTAGCCATAATGTGCTGCTCAGAGGCAGTCAGGACTATAGGATACGCTGCCTGTCTTTTTGTTGTTGAACCTTTTCTGCCCTCTGCTGGCCTCAGTGATAGTTTCTCCTACCATCACATACAAGCATGCTTAGTTACTTCCAATTTAAACTTTTTTATAGATCTACAGGTCGTGACCTTTTGCTTTTTTGATTTCACAGAAAGTAGTGACTGCTTTGGACAAGACCTGGCATCCGGAGCACTTCTTCTGTGCTCAGTGTGGATCCTTTTTTGGACCAGAAGGTAAGCGCCACACCCACAGACAGCTGTTACTGTTAAAGATGTACTTGGTGTTTTCGCTGAGTTTTTTTGTTTTTTTCCTTTGCTGCTGCCTAGGTTTCCATGAAAAGGATGGTAAGGCGTTCTGCAGAAAGGACTACTTTGACATGTTTGCTCCTAAATGTGGCGGCTGTTCCCGGGCCATCCTGGAGAACTACATCTCTGCCCTCAACTCGCTCTGGCACCCTGAATGCTTCGTCTGCAGGGTGAGAAACTGGCCAAACAAATAACACTTAAAGACCCCTCGGATAAACATGATGATTCTGTTATGTTAATGAGTCCATCAGACATTTGTATTCGTAGCTGTTAGAAACTCTTAAACTTCGCTGCGTTTTTGACTTTACAACCAAAAACTTGTGCGTGTTATTGGGATAATAAGATTGACATAAAGTGATACTAAACTGTGTGATGAAAAGAAAATAAATACGTGGGAATAGTTCTAGCAGGGTTTCCACGGGTCATTAAAAATCATTAAAAGTCATTAAATTATTATTATTTTTTTTTATATTAAGGCCTTAATTGGAATTAAAATTCATTAAATGTGATTAACATGGGATTTAAAATGCTTTATAAAAAAAAAACAATTTCATCAGATATATATCAGATAATACTGTTTCCGCGTGTTTGCGCAGAACTGCTTGCGGTTGATCGAAAAGCCGTATGTTCGGAAAAGAAGCTCGAGGCGGAGAAAAGGCTAGAGAATGTGGAAAATTAAAATTTTAACTATAGTGGTGTTGGAAGTAGAACTGCACCCAGAACGGAATCACCACAGTGAACCATGGTGGTGGCAGCATCATTCTGTGGGGACAGGGAGCTGCTCAGAGTTCATTGAAAGAAAAATTAAGGAGAACAACACAGATTTGTTAGGAAGCAGCTACTAAAGATTAAGATTGAAGCAGAGATTCTTGCAGGACAGTGAGTCTAACACACTCAGTGCTACAACTGAGGGGTTTAGATGAGTGATTGCAGTTGTTTTGGATGCTCTGTTTACTGTTTTGTCCAATCTAGATTTTTTTTTCTTCATTTATTTATTTGTTTTTAATTACTGACAATGTCAGCTGATATGAGGTCACACTACCCTTAGTGTCCATATGGAAATAAAACATTGAGCAAAAACTCAGAAACAATGCAAAAAGATTTAAGAGACGCCACAGGAGGCACTTCTATGAAATATAAATTAAAAGTTTAGATCATTAATATTGCAGAGGTAGATGAGTTTTACGTGGATGAATCACCAATCACTCCAAGTGAAAGAAATTGAGGCTATTTGATCCGTGTGCCCCTAGTTTAGATCAAACCATATCCCTTAGTTAGAATGAATCAGTCCATATCCAAACCTGGAAAAAAAAAAGTTGGAGCTGTTATAAAGGGAACAGCAGGAAAAAAAGGCCTCTATCTTTACAAGCCATCTGAGGAAATCCCTAAAAGTCAAAGAGGGATTCCTCCAAGTGCTGTTTCAGGCAGAGTCGATGGAAAACACGCATGACGTTTTATTTTCTCTCCTCTCTCAGATCTGTATCTCCTCAAATCCTAATGCAGTACAGTGGAGTTTGTGTCTGTAACTTGAGAAATTGTAAATAATTTTTTGGTTTTCCAGGAACTGTGTCATAGGGGAGTTTGGTTATAAGGCCTGTCCTGATGGGTTTCTTCTGCTAGTGTTTCAGATAGGTGCTTGTTGGATCCTGGGGGTGGGATCAGGAAGATATTGTGTAGTTCCACCTTAAAACATTTTAACACTCTGAAAGTAAGCCAGTTATCTGCTCTGTTTTTTAGGAGTGCTTCACGCCGTTCATAAACGGCAGCTTCTTCGACCACGACGGCCAGCCGTACTGCGAGTCCCATTACCACGAGCGCCGCGGCTCCATGTGCTCCGGCTGCCAGAAACCCATCACTGGCCGTTGCATCACAGCCATGGGCAAGAAGTTCCACCCGGAGCACTTTGTCTGCGCTTTCTGCCTCAAGCAGCTGAACAAGGGCACCTTCAAAGAGCAGAACGACAAGCCGTACTGCCACGGCTGCTTCATCAAACTCTTCAGTTAGACCGCATGTCTGCTGTATGTGCAATGAGTGTTTGTACGAATGCACCATGTCTGTGGGCATCGCTCAGATTTTTCAATACATCATAAGGAGGGTAAAAATGTTTCTATCAGAGATGACACTGAAAGGGATCTCCCTGGATTTGCCAACTTTTACCTTCAGATAAAGACCTTTTAATGGAGCTCAAAGAGATTTTTATTTCAGTTTTTGTTCCTAAATGTGACAAAAGCAAGAAAGAAACATGTTATGATCTCCTTGTTTGTGTGTAAACGACAAGTTTTGATTGTAAAGTATTTTCCCCATTCAGCAGGGCAAGCCCTAGCATCACACAGCCGTCTGTCGTCTGTGTGACAGTTTTCTGCAGATCTGAGACAGCTGCTTGATTGCATGGACCACTGGGAGTAAAGAGTTTTAAAATACTATCAGCGTTTGTTTCAACACTGAGTGCTATGAAAATGTATTTTTCTAACTTTGAAAACTTCTGAGGTGCCATTTGGAATAACTGAACCACTTTTCTATATGTAAATCTTAACAGACACACGTTTTACTTGCTTCTGTAGCCTAGACTGGTTTGTTCATTTAAGCCTTAAAGCTCGCGTTCTGATCATGGTTAAATGTTTTATATGTTGATGTCAATTACTTCTTTTTTTTCTACAAATTTCATTTAAAAACAAGTATTTTTTTTTTTAATTTTCAGCACACATTTCACTTTGATTTTTAGAAAAGATGCACCGATTAGGATTTTCCAGGCCAATGCAAATTACCAAGTGGCTGATTTTGATTTAATTTTATTCTAAGGACTTAAAGACATTAAAGAAATGATGAAAATGAAGCGGTAACAAGGTTGTACACATTAGTCAAAGCATTAACCGTACTTGCACTGATCCTCTGGTGCAGTGTTTGAAATCGGATTAGGTTCCTAGGTTCCTTACATTTTTTTACAACCAGCTTACTGAAAATTGTTAATTTTTTATAAAAACATTGAAGCAAACTCGGCGTCCCTAAGCTCAAACTGACTCCTATTTTCAACCATCAATATTTAACATTACATCTTTTATGCACAAATTTGGGGACAGATACTTTAAGTCGCATCGGTTTGTTCATTTCAGGTTAGGTTCAAAAGGACTTCTACTATTATTTATAGAATATAGAATTTTGTATGATTGCATTAAGTAAAAATAAATAAAGCTTGGTTGACAGATCAGGCTTTAAAGGAAACCTGAAATCAGCATAATTCTGGAAAATCCTGATTGCTCATCTCTTCCTCTAATCTTTTTTTTTTTTTTCTTACAAAAATAGCACTGAGGTTATGCATTTATGGATGGAAAATGGTTTGGATCTTTATTTTATGTTTGTCCTGCTGATCATGAAATCAACCATCTGTGTATCTTTTTTAGCTCACTTATTTCCAGAAGATCTGCTGAGTTTCCCTTTATTTTAATTTGACTACAGCCATAGTGCTGTGTGGTACTACAATCATAACTATATAAAACTTTTTTTACATAAATAAAAAAAAAGAAATCAGGTCAGATACCAATGCTGCATATAATATGGTTTGGTATGTTTTTAAATTGCAGGTAAAACCACCTGAAATAGTTTTAAAATGTATATGTTACTGCTTTGATTGCAGTTATTAAACTAAAGAGCTATATTTTCGAATATTTTACACTGCAGCTTGCATACATTTATCACTGTTTTAAATGCATCTATAAAACTAGTGAAAGATTGACTTTGGGGTGGTGCGTTTTAAATTTGAAGCATGCTCATTTATTTAGAGGTATAAAAGCACCAGCTGCCAGTGTTACAATCGTCTATTTCTACACCTGTAACGTGTTTAAAGCTCCTTTGTTTGATTGAAATGTTTAATTTTAGAGCAGTTAAAGGCTCACTCTGTTAAGCAAAGAGCTGGCTCTGTTAGCATGTAGCCTACTGTAATGATAGTCTCTCATTCCTTCAACACGAACGCAGACACCATGATTGGTTATCCTGAGGTATCGGTGCAAAGGTCGCCGATGGAAGCTGGATGCTGGTCTTTACTGATCAGGAATCAGAATAAGACCCTAAATCAGGGTCTTTAGAGGAAAATGATTCATCTTTATTTCATATATGGCCTTTGTTTTTTATTTTATAGTGCATCAGCAAGATAATGCCATTGCCTTTAATTTCATATCCTGCAGAAAGTTACACCAACTCCACATTTAAGTTGATTTTAAGTGTTTTCCTTGTGCCAAACGTGTCAATGCAATAACGTCCCAGACACTGTGGAGCTCTCGAGCCTTTCCTGTGATTTTTTTGTGTTTTATTTTGGTTGCTGAGCTGAACTCTGGGAGTCGTGCTGCGTTTTAACTGAACTATACACTGTAACAGACGAGCCAGGGAGAAACATGCTATTGCGTAGCATACATTAAAGCATACGTATGGGGGTGTGATGGATGCAGAAGGGAGAAAGTGTTGCAGTAAAAGACCCCGGGTTTGCTCATCTTTTATCTCATGTCACAACATGACATAACATTTATGCTTCTGTTGGAGAATTCATGCAAAGAAAAAAATAAAGCTTTTTACTTTAAATGCAAATATGTGAACTTTTTGTAGATGGAGTCGCATTCATGTAGCGTTTGGTATTTGAATTTACTGAGCTATAAATGTGTGTGGGTGATGTGCAAGCCTTTGTGGGTCCTGCTAAATGATTGGTGAACCTTTGCAAATAAAAGCTAAATATTGAATTGGTGGCTTTGTTCCCTTTTTGCTTCTTTAATCATTGTCGCTGGTTGAATGCATTAACCAAATGTTTGCAAATACCAATTTTAACCCCAGTTACTTTTTTCACATTGCATTAAGACAGAACAGGTGAAGACTTTGTCTTACTTTCAAGGGTGACTTCTACCTCTGAACTTTATTAATCTAGTGGTTAAAATGATCCACAGAGGAACAGTGGATAACCTGAATTAGATTGGCTCTTTAATATCTAACTTTTGGTCATTTTATTTTTTTAATAAAAAAAGAAATATCACTGTTGTATTTGTTTGGAGATCTAAAAGATATATTTGTACTTTTTTAAATAAAGTTGAATTCAGGGGTTGACGTTAAGGATTTTTACCACTTGCCCCTTTGGGCAAGTGACTTTCACATTTAATTTGCCCAGAAACAATTTTTACTTGCCCAGTATAATGTTTGATAAATATAGTTCCTAATATTCATTTTTGTATATATATAAATGAAACATGTTTGGGTTTTTTTTTTAACGTTTTTTGTAATTCAGTATTTAATTTTACAGGTTCCTGGTGTGTATATGCATGCCTCAGATAATGAACTCAAGCCTACATTACTGTGTTAACATGCCTTTCAATCCTTCCTGCACATTCTTTTCAAACTAAACTTTGCTTTAAACTGTTGTGTGCTTGGGAAAAATACAAATCGTAATGTTAAAAATCTAAAAAAAAAAAACTTGACAGGTTAAAAACTTAAGATAAATCACAAGATAGAAGTCAATATCACAAATGAATAACTTATTTTAGAGTCACAGTATGTTTACACAAGAAAATACTATTAATAAAATGTGACTTTTCTAGAGAATCGTTATACAGTTATTTTATACAGGGTTTCCACAGTCTTACCTAATTTCAGAATTCCCTGACTTTTAACTCACTCAGGATTAGTTTTCCCTGACAAAATAAATGCAGCAACAAGACAATAATAATAATAACATAACAGGTCACCAATTTAACATGTTTAGCTCTATAACATTTAAATGCACCTCTCCAATGTCTGAGAGAAAAAAATTAATGAAAATATTTTAATGTATGACCACTGTACTGAAGACTGCCATATGATAGCGCTTTCTAGCTTGTTTGTCGTTTTGGTAACTACATCAAAATTACTAACCTGACAGTAGTAGTCAGGTTACAAAATTACCGCTAGGTTGACAAAAATCACGCCATCTGGCGGAAAATCTCGCGGCTTTTTCAAATCACGCGAGAATGTGGCCGCCTCATGCATGCACACTTCTTCCTCCCCAGCAGACACAGTAGAACCCATGGAGCTGAATACCTTCCAGGGTTTGCAAAAGAAAAGGAACTTATCAAAACTTACAAAAAAACAGTTTAAAGATGGAAAATGCTTTTTATACACTCTGTCCCATTTGAAGTTACTTTAGAAAGAAAACTTGATAAAAAGTTTAACACTTTGTCTTTCTACGTGAACATATGTTAAAAAGGATGTTTATTGACCAAAACAAATAACTTTGTATATGTGGAATTTTGATTTTCTTTACTTTTCAAGTCGTACATAAAAGAAAAGTACTTTCGCTTTTCCATTCTTGTGATACTTTAATCAGAAATACTATTATTTAATACTATTGAACCTAATCATAGAACATTTGGAAAGAAAAGCATTGATAATTTAATAAACATGTTAACATTTCTTTGACATAAATTGCACTTCATATTTTTACCAAAAAATAAAGGCAAACGAGACTAAAACACATAGAAAAATCCTTTATCACAGAATAAATATCTATTTTTTTTCAATAATTTTTAATGGCCAATAATAACCCTCAATGTTTGGACTGAATTTTAAAACTTTAAAGCAATCTGGCTTTATCTTTAATAGCTTAAAAAAATAAACCATAATTTCCACCAGAGAACAAAAATGGATGTTAGACCTTTAGTTTTCATTTGTCCTTTGAATTTCAGGATTTGGCACAGTAAGACAAAGCATTAAAGTAAGATTCTTAGACCATATAATGTAATAATTCCAGCTGCACGATAGCAAGAAAAACAAAACAAAAATATAAAAGTCAGCAGGTAAACTGGGGATCAGAACCAAATTAAATAGCAATAGAATGTAAAACAAAATCTCCAGCTATAATGTACATCTTGCTTTAAATGAATTACTGTATTTAAGCAACTTTATGATCATTTATTAGTTAACTGCAATGAAAAAAAATTATGAAGAGAAAGGTTTAAATATATAAAAATATTATGGAAAGGAGAAAATGAAGTAAGGTTGTGAGTTGACCAGAGTCAATCTCTTTCAATCTCTTTGTTTGTTAAAGCAACAAAAAAGGTCCAAAACATGTGGTGCAGGTGTTCAAAGCAATCCAGAGGAGAAATTAATGTTCAAATGAATGTGAAATTATTCTAAAGATTAGAAACATTTTGAATGAAACCGCAAGATTTCAAAACATCAAACACTTGGCAATGCTGAGCTACTGACAGAAAGGCTACAAATCATAGTAGAGAAACTGTTTAAATGTTTTTTTTATACTTTATGAATACATGCACATGACATTGGGTCACTTTGTGGATTGGAGGAGGAGACATGAAGTCTGCCGTTGGTCAGAGCCTGAAGCTGGGCAGCTAGATGTGAAAGATCCGGTGAGCTGTCCAGAATCTCCAGGTGCTCCAGGTCTTGAAGCCGGTGGAGATGCAGCAAGTCTTTCTCAGGCACACGGTCACGGCGCAGCTTGAGAGTCCTGAGCTTCGGGAACAGCTCTGGGATTCTAGCAATGTTCTCCCCCAGATGTGAAGGCCAGGGTTCTATGTGAAGATGGAGGAGATTGGGCAGCTGTGCCGATATGGCCGACATGTCCTCAGGAGACAACCTTGACCTGCACAGCGTCAGGCTGGTCACAGCAGCCGGGATGGAGGCGACGTACATCTTTACAGGTGGGCCTCTGGTGACGGCCAGCTTGGACAGCTTGGGGAGATCTTCCAGCCATTTGTTTAGGAGAAACGCCAGGTGAGAGCTGGTGTATTGCATGTTCTGATGAACGTCCTCGTAGAAAACAGAAAGGCTGTTCAGGTGAGGCGCTTTCTTCATTGTATTCACTGGGAAAACATGGTCAGAGTACTGGATGAGTTCCAGGGAGAGCAAGGAGGAGATTCTCTCATTGACTTGCCTCTTAGGAACATAAACACAGGCTCGCTTAGAAGACAGGGAAAGGTGATTCAGCTTAGGCAAATAATAAAGTAAGCTCTCTATTAAACTGATGGGTTCCACTGAGGTGCCAGAATTATGGCAGACCAGAGATGTGAGGTTCCTGAGGTGGGAAATAAAAGGAAGGAAGCTGGATTTAATGGGAAACCTTACGTCACACAGACTGAGGTGAGTGAGCTGCTCAAAGTGGGGTCTAGTGAGCGCGTCTAAGACCACCTCACTGCTTCTGATAGCCAGACGTTGGAGATGTGGGAAGTCTGAGCTGAAGCTCAGGTTCTCCATGTCGCCTTCCTCCAGAACCAGCGCGGTGAGGCCAGGAAGCTCCGCGGACAGCTGCCTCCAGTTGTGGGCTGCGGTTCTCCTCACCACCACGCTGCTGACCTTCCTCTGACGAAGAGAGCTCCAGAAGCGCTTGGTGTAGGAGCCGTTTCTGAAATTTAAAACTGCAGTCCAGCCTTTCCAAAGAGACCAGTGGTCGATTAGTTTCCTGAAGTACTTGCAGCACGCTCGCAGGCTAAGTTTGTCTGGCACGCGCAGATATCCAAAGACATGGACCCAGATCTCAGCGGGAAGGTGGGGCGAAGGCAGGGCCATCCGAGTGGCTAGATAACGAAAGATTTTAATAATTTTGCCACTTTATAACTAAAAGTAAAACTAACTTCTGACACCACACTGTTTGGCGGAAGTTTCTTCTTCTTCTTTTCTATCATGGCGGATCGCAAGCAACTTTAAGGTGCATACCGCCACCTACGGTTCATGAGTGTGTAGCAACATTGTTTTACATCTATTAAATTCTATTTTTTAATTTTGTATTCTGAAGATAAATAAATAATGTATTCTGAAGATAAATAAATAATGCTTTCCTTAATCTATAAATACCCTTTATATTTCCTTTATTTCCCAATAATCCTTTAAGACTCCATTCTTGGCCTGCCCTTTCAACTAGGATACTCTTACAGTTCATCAATACGTGTTCTACATTTTCTATCTCTCCACATCCTTCACATTTATCATTAATTTTACTCCCTATTAAATATAGATTGCCATTTAAATAGATATAACCCGCTCTTAATCTGATCATTATTATTTCTTCCCTTCTGTTTCTCTCATTAATATTTCTATTTAATACTGACTTTTGTACTTTATATAATCCTCTTCCTTTGATATCTTCATTCCACCTTTTTTGCCATTGTTCCAATTCTTTATTCTTAATAAGTGATTTCCCTTCCCCTCTCCCAAAAAGCAATTGTAATGGTTATTGTTCCCTCTAAAGCCAGTTTTGCTAATATCTCTGCCTTTTCATTGCCTTTTACACGTTCATGTGCTGGAACCCAACATAACAGAATATCAGTGCCACCCCTATATAATCTGAATAGACTGTGCTTGATTTCTAATATGAAATCTTTTCTATTTTTTCCTTTTCCCTGAATACTTTCTAAAATTGCTTTGGAATTTAAAGTTTTTGGCTGTTAGCAAACAACAAATAGTTGCATTTCCGCCATCCACTGGTATAGAGAATTCACCAGAATGACTTTCAGGAATAAAATCCGGTAAAAAAATGGTTTTTTTTTTATTTGTTTGTTTTTTTAATCACTTATAGCTAATTCAAATAAATATAATTTAACTTTTACTTTATTTAAATGTAGAATTAATTGCTGTCTCTCTTCGTGTTTATTACAGTACAACATGACATGTTCAATTGTTTCATCTACTCCAGAGTATTCATATTTACCATACCTATGTTTCCATAAAATACACAGAGAACTATTTAATCCAGTATGCCCAAATCTCAAACAAGAAATATTTTTTATTCTCTTCTTGTTCTTTTGGTTCTTCTCATTTCTCCAGTTTTCTTTTGAGCATAATAAAACCAATGTCCTCTTTTCCTTTCTCCCATTCTTTTTGCCATTCATCCTTTATTTTCTGTTTAAATTCCTATTTAATAAAATTGATAGTTAAATCCTCTATTAAATCTGCAAAATGAAATTTTAAAAATTATCAACAAAGTAAAATCTACATTGATGTCTGGAATAATCCAAGGCTGTATTATTGATAATGGAACTGTTTGGTTTATACTAAATTGGTTTATACTGATGTATTTTGAATTCTATTATTTTATTCTTCACAATCCAACCAAACTTTTCTTTTTCCAAACAGGGTTTTATTGCTTGATGAGTTGGATGATCCTGTCTAGGACCTTTTAAATTAGCCCAGTATTTAAATGTTAATTGCTCTCTTCTAAATGCAAGTGGCATTTCTCCCATTTCTATTAATAATGCTGCAGTTGGAGTGGTTTTAATTGCCTCTGTAAATAACCTCAATGCTTGGTATTGAATACAATCAAATTTTTGTACAGTTGCCTCTGCTGCTGAATTATTAACAATGATATCTGATCTAATCAGTCCTGCATATATATTTTCTTACGTGTTATTTACTCTGTCCCCATCAACTGCCCGTCATAATATTTAACACTTTATTGCATTTGTCTTAAACGTTTAGAATGCGTATATTCTATTTAAGTTTTTCATCAAGTGTCAGATGACTGATGTGAAAATGAGCTAATAAATGGTCAAAATCATCAAGTCAGCGCGTTAACATCAGAACATTTTAGGGGCGTTTTCGAGTAACATAGAACTAAAGGCCCAGATAATAATAATAATAATAATAATAATAATAATAATAATAATAATAATAATAATAATAATAATAATAATAATA